AAGTGAGAGCACATGACCAAGTGCATCGCTACTAGGAGCAAGTGCCTTACTAGTAGTAACAAGAAGCTAGCCGTAACAAGAATGAGTGCTTCACAAACCCAGTGCCTCGAGTTCCCTGCGTGAGTTTCGAAGGGGATCCCATCGACGTTTCGAAGGGGATCTGGATCGGACTCATCTGAGTCTTCGGAGGCCATTGTCCAATTCCATGACTTCCAGGGGGTGCATCATATACAATTATGATCAATTCAGAACTTGGCAACCCACCTTTTCTCGGAAAACATAGATAAAAAAGGGGGCGTTTGATCGGATCAACCCAATGGCACTGGACGGCACTGAAGCAATTGTCCAAAAACGATTCAAACAATGAACTATATATAGTAGCCATATAACTATATATAAATACCATGACCATCCTGTCAGGGGTCCACTGGACTACACTTACAGGCTTCCGTTGAGCACCCCTTGGAAGGCCATGAACCTGGCTTGGCGAAGAATCCATTCCGACCAAAAGTCAGGCCTCGTCAGGTCGTCTGCAGTGGTTGCTTTCCTTCCTTCCTGGACACAGTTCGGCGACTTTGGGTGAGCATGAGGGTCAGGGTCAACCACTGCAGGTCAAATTAGACAAGAATGAGTCGACCAGGGAGTTGGTTCTTCAAGACTTCGGCCTGGACTGCCACAGTTGGACTTGTCATCGGCCTGGTTTAGCTGGCGCAGGGTGGCGAGTTGCATGCGCCGGTGGGAGAAATGTCGTGATACACGGAGACTTCAAGTGTTCAAGTAGCACTGCGCCACCGCGCACAGTCATCCTCTACTCTGAAGTTACTGTACTACCACAAGAATCAAGGACCCTCAAGTCATCATGAAGGTTTGGTTCGGGGCCAAACCCCTGCGATTTTAATAGGGTCATTGGACCCTCCAGAAGTGGTCGGGTCTCTGATGCTTTGGGGACCCGTTTGGTCAACACCGTCAGCACATACAGAACACCCGCTGGGACCGACGCAGCCCCGGGACTCGTTTGACATATTCTTCCGGTTCATCCAAGTCTCCGGTTAAGGCTGGTTCCCAATGCAAGCTTGACAGAGGCTGTTGATTTAACACCAGGTTGCTGTGCAAATTGGAACATGGAGACCACCAGAGAGTTCTGGTGGAACCAGTTGACAGCCCGTTACTTCGGAAGTCCTACTTGAATACGCACCGATGTCGGCTCTCCAAAATGCCACTTGGGCCTGGTACCTCATCCTCCACCGCGGAGCTTTCCCTCCCTGCGGAACCTCGCCTCGCTCACGTCTCAGGGTCCGAATGGGCAGAGATCACCGAAGAAGACATGCGACGACTGCTCCCAAACATAGCAGCAAGGATTCGCACCTCAGGTTTGGACCAAACGCATAAGGATGCCAATTGAAACACTTTTTGTGAGCTACGGACGCACGCAGCTGCGGACGTCGCAGTCCGCCAAACCAAGATGTCATGGGGGTTGTTTTGCCTGGTTGACATGTAAGCCGAGCGATCGCCCCACAGGAATGCGAAATGAATGGTCGAACCTGAAGTGCAAGTGTATGAAGCAGCCTTACTTAGAAAGCAATATACAGTATCTATCAGTATCTTATTTACCCTAAGAATCAAGGACCCAAACCCGTTGCTTCGGGTCCAAACCCGTCTTTTCACCCTACGGACTACGGAGGGTCCGTTCTGATTCGAGCGTATATAGACTCTATATAGACTTTCCGGTGAAAGGCCCAACGGGCGTTTATTCGGCGGCCCGGTGAAAGCACCGCCCCGACCGAGACGTGTCACCGGCGGCATGGTTCAACTGTGCACGAGACGTGTCACGGTGCACGAGAATGGCAGGGGTCGGACCCTCCATAGCGGACCCTGAAACCCTATGTGTTTGAGGGTCCTTGATTCTTAGGGTAGGAAGAAAACAGCAACGACTCATTGATGAATAAACACCACCCCATTGATGTTGATGTTGAAGAATCGGAAAACAATAGAAAGAAAACGACTCACATTGATGAATAAACCCACTCCATTTGGATGCACGAACAACCTCTTCAAGGCCCGGGGAAGTGAAACTGAATGGCCCGCGTCTCTTTAAAAACAGCCGGGGGCGGCGATGGCATGGCTGCGGTGGGTATGTCAGGTGGGTATGTCATGTCCCCATATTCCTGGCTCTGGTCAATCAATACTGGCACATAGGCTTGAGATGAGAATCCTCTAGGGTCAAACGACATGTTCATGTCGTTTCCACAGCATCTGGACTTGTCATTATATATTTCGATTGAAAAGGAAATCACCCAGATCTGCGGGATGGTGAGTCTAACATATGCATCTTTGGGATATAAAAACCTCAAAAGCCTTCAACACCCGAATCCATGCATAGGAGGTACCTGAACCCTCAGGGTGTTTTTACGGGAGTCCATGCCGGAATCAAAGACTCAGTCGCACCATCCAAAGGGTCACCAATACTCCTACACTCCCTTGAAATCATCGATGCAAGTGGCTGGCACCATCTGTGCTGGTATTCGGAAAAAGGGTCATCCTGCTGGGGCATGCCATCCACTTCCATGATGATTTCAGGGAGTGTACATAGTACATAGACTAGAACTAGCAAGGGGTTCGGGGAACTCCCTGTAACTCCTGGGATCCTTGTAGCTCCTGGGGAACGATACCCCCGGCTTCTGAACTCCCTCCTGCTTCGCAACAGCTAGATCATAACACGCATGATGTACGACTCCCAAAGCACCTATTCATAAAGCAAAATGATGCAAAATGGTCTTCCCGTCCATGTCAGTGATGTGAGTGCATGGTAAATGTATGGATCTTCAAGACCCGAGAGGTGCGGGGTGGTCGAGTCCCTGGCCATTTTTGCGCCCGTCTCCCACCGCCCGTCTCCCCAGTCGGAGTTCATGTTCCACCACGACCACGGCGTCTTTCAGGTGTGAACACACCACACCCATCCCGGCGTCGAATCCGAGCTCACTCTCTGTTCGGCAGTTTGAAACCCAGGAACCTCGCCACTCAATTTATTCAGCTGTTCCTCCACAAAGTGCTGGAACCTCGGCTGTCGGCTGCGCAGTCCGAAGGAACGCAATCCTCTTCATCCCACCGTTGACACCGGCGTTCTCCGAGAGTGGGATCTACTGTTCGATGGATCTAAAGATCCATTGGTGGATCTCCAAGAAGTGGCACAAAAAAGAACTCCACCGAAACATGGCAGATGCAAGCTCTTCAGACCCTGCCACGGCAGATCAACCAGCATAGGGGATCTCAGATCCAGGGACGGCCTCTTTCTTTGATTCTTTGGGTTGCCTGTCAAACAACTGATTTACATGTTGCGAGTTCATAAGATTTTGATGGGTGCCCACACCGCCAACACCCCAGAGACAGGTTCCCGGCGAGTTCGGGCTGCCGACCTGACATCAAGAGAAAGTATCTCTGGAAGAATTCAGCATAAACCGGAAAAACGGACTCCACTTCCGAAAACCGGGAACCCCTCCACGGTGCAAAACCTTCGGGCAGACATACCAAAAAGAATGCATGGTTCTCCCAAGAGATGTAGCAAAACATCCTGTGGAAACCCTAGAGCCGCACCGAAAAACAGCTGTACTCACTGGTTGACTGGTTCGGTACACGGTCCCTCCCCGGTTCCACCGGTGGAGACGTAGCGCTTCGGTCCGCCGAGGTGCTTTCCTTGACTCTTGATGAGCCAGTTCTGGTCAAACATCCTGGGTCAGGGAACACGAACAGATCACTGAAATTCAGGCAACACACATGGTAACCGTCGCAGCTATGCTGTAGAAAGGACATTTAAGCTCAATTACTGGATAGTGTAAGGATACCATATGATGTCTGTATAAGTGAGTGGACAAAAATGGTCAACCAGTGGTCTAGTCTAGGTCCGGGCCTAGCGGCCTAGCGCTCCTCCACTAGTGCCGAAACCACCGGAACAGCTGTGATCAAGAGCACACAAAGGCTGTCCGGGCTTGGCTTGCTGGCGTTCCTTCGCTTTTGCCAAGGACGTCTGTCTGCGGCATCTGCATCTAATTAGTCATCGAATTTCAGATTGGTGGTCTGACCTCTATTCCCAAAGTCCTGTCCAATACTGGCATTAGAATCAAAGGAGGCATGTGGCCAGCTATCTACGGTCCAATCCGGTATTTCGACTTCTGTGCAAATCGACTGTAACCACTCAAGGTCCTGGCAAACAGTGCTGTACCATCGCTGTTCTAATTGCACCAGGGCCCAATAATGCGGTTGTCCGGCTTGAATGACTTTAACATAATTGTCTCTTCCATACAGTACACGACTACTAAATATCTAAAAACAGTAGGAACATCCTCTTAGGGCTTCTGTGTGTGTGTGCATGAAAGCAACAGTGTGTGGTGTCTGCAGTAGCGACTTAGCATTCAATTTTTGCACTGGGTAGGTGTCTCTAGGTAGTAATATCTATACAAATCAGTGAACAGTCGAAGAGTGAACTACCAAGTACTCATGCTCCCTACGCAGGCACACAATCTGCAGCAGCAACTTACGAGTAGCAACGACTAGCACCAGCCCCAGCGCAAGCCTGGAACAATGCTGCGTTTTGCTAGCGCGACAAGGCAGCATAAGCATATCAATTTAAACACTTTAATTCAAAGGGGTGGCCAAGCGATTTCTGAATCCTTGGGATCGTTCCTTGCTTAATACATAATGTGCCTGTTTCAGCTCAATATAATCTGTTTTGGTGTCAAATATCAATGACTTCAATGATGGTAGGTATCCTATATAGTGATCATAGATTCCAAAGTTTCTTGCACCTGTCATAAAACAAGCACCACACACTCCTGGCCAGTTCTCAGTTCAGGGACAACAAAAGCATGAACAAGTCCCTTGTGAAAACGTGTGAAAACACGAACTCGGACTCCGCAGCCCAAGTGCCACATCAGGATGCTGGTCCAAGACTGCAGTCAGGTGCTGGTCCAAGAGTTCAACAAGTTGGTCGGCGAAAACAACCAGACTCAAACCCGGCACCCACACACATGCGCACGCATGCGCACGCACGGTCGGCGGCCATGGTCGTCAGGCTTCAATTTCGCAATGTCCATGGCCCGGGCTTGCCCCCGCAAGCGCAAGCAACCCAAGAGGAATTCCTCGATCTCCACTGCCCCTCCTGGCGTTTTCAGCCAAGTTGCTACAAGTGGTCACAAACACACGGAGTGGACATGGCGAAACATTGCCCAAACATGGATCACGCAGAATGACAAGCATTTGTGCCTTTGAAGAGGACCTGGTCTGTCTATCCTGCGCTCTTGACAAGTCTGGCACCAGAGGTGAGAGCATCAAAGGTGGAAACTGATTTCAGTTTCATCGTTCGAGAGGATCCAGCCCCAAAACAAAAGGATTGAGATGACAGAAGCCTATGCGGGGTCAGACATCAAATCTGTGACAGTCATTTACAGTAAGTGTGCACGTGTGTTTGTTGTGATGTGTTCATTCTTGTTTGTTCATGACTTGGGAGACAGATAGCTTTTGAAAGAGACAATGACCTTGAAGACATAATCTATCCAAAGCACGTGCATGGGTTTATGATTTGTAGGTGCTTCTGTGTTGTTCTACAAGAAGACACATCCAAGTTGCGTTGTTTGTTCTTTTCAAGAACCACTTCTATGTGTGGATGGGTCAGTATAGTACTTGGCCACATTGTCATGTAAGGCATCACGTCGCCAGAGTGGCAGATTCTCCACCACAACCCGCATGTCATCCCGTGCTTGCAGGAGGAGTGCGAATTGACCATAGTCATATCTCATGGGAGTTGCTGTCCAGGGGAAAAAATGCAGAACATCTTCCCCCCAAAATAACATAAAATAACAAGGGGATTTGCTCACAAAAGATTTCCACCATCGCCCTCCGTCTACAGGCCTGGACACAGTAAGCATGTCGTCACGGTTTCCCGGCCTCCATCGACATCCAGTAGCTTGAAGAAGGACCAGGCATCTGAGACATCAAGCCCTTGGCAAAAGCGCATGGACTGGCGGAGTGTCGACCGCACCCACCCAGGCCGAGTGTCGCCCCGATAAAGGCGTTACGTGCTGAATGCTTCACTGGATGCCTGACTGGATTCCATGCCTGAGACATAGTGACACAGGGTGAAGGGAGGAATGCCACTGCCTTTGAATGGAGGACATGCATTTGAGAGCTGGGGCTTCTCAAAAAAGAACAAAGGCCTTGGTGAGGCCATCACCAGCCATCCACTATGACTAACTGACACTTCAATGATTTCTGGGTGGGTTGTGTGTGTGTGTTGCATGGGGAGAAGGTTGAGACCAAAAACAAACATTGTTGGAAGCATCGTTCTCCGCAAAATTCCTGAAGGACAGCGTGTCCTAATCAAAACTTTGATGATGTTAACCTTCACAATATAATCGGCTTCATAAACCGTCAGTTCACATCCTGAAAAGTCAGTCCACATCACACAGTTCACCAAAGTTGGAAAGGTTATTTAAAAGAAAGGTGCGTATACCACGGATATCCCTTTAAATCTGGCATGTCTCGTGGGTCTGCTATCTCTAAACCCTACCAGGTACTTCACCTGACTGTTGCTGAGCGAGTTCTCTTCCCGAAATCGGTCCAAGGGTGATCATTTAATTCGCTCGTAGGTCGTCGATTCCAAAGAGAACCGGTCGACCTATGCCCTAGGGCTCCAGCCATAGCTTCGTTTCGAAGGTGGGACTGGAGTGCGTTTAAAGGGTCCAAAGATATACCTTCTCAGGAGGCACTTGGAGCCTAGGGATGAACAAACCGTTTTACCTCAAAACGAAGAAAAGTACCCAAACGGCACGTGTCCTGACCTGGTGATGCACCGTGGTGTTCTTGGAAGCAGTCAAACCACACTACTCCACTGCTGTTCAAATGGTCGCAACCGCACTGTAGGTTGCTAGGTCTGTTCACGGAAGGGTACATAAGGAAACATCCTCCCGAACAAGAATAAAACCCTTGCACGTTCCACCACTACCACCATTGGTCGTCCAATCCTGCCGAGAAACCCAAGCTTTCAAAATATTCCCGCACTGCTGGCGTGGAAAATTGCTCTTGGAGCATATCGAAAGTAACGACTCCGGTGTCGTCAGCGCCCAACTTGAAAAAGAGTGCTCGGATCTTCTTCAAATGAGATTCCTGGCAGAAAACGTCGAACTTGAAAAGCTCCGAATGGCCTCATCGTCTCACTCCAACACAATATATTATTTATATATAATATATATAGATCATCTATCTATACTACCGAAAAAGCGTCATTGGATGGCTCCTCCGTTGGATGTCGCGACCGGGTCGCGTCATCATAAGTGCTGCTTCCGTTAAAACCCACACGACACTGTGGAAACCATCTGTCACCATCGAAGAATCAAGCTGTTGTACTTCCTGTCAGTCCTTTTTCGGGGCCTCTGTGATGGTACTCCGGCGGCCACTCTGGTTGGGCCATGAGTTCATCTGGACTACCAAGACGCATGCAATATATTACATATAGTTAATATGTAAATGTATTACAGTCTATTCTGGTCAGGTTTTGTGGTTCCATAACCATTATGGAGTAGATGGAATATGAACCAATCCACTCACTTGGGGCTCCGAAACCCCCTCTTTGAAATCCATTTTCCCTGGCGTTGAGGAAAATGACACCTTTCGGCCAATTGGTAGGAACAAACCACCGGAAGAACGCCCCAGCCACCTCAATATGCTACAGTTGCGTGGAATATCATGGAAATTCGTGGAATGGTATGTAGCACATGTTCCCTTTGTGGTATGGTGCATTGGTACAACGCTAGCTCCTAGCGTCTTCCTTTCAACCCAGACTTCGGCTGCTCCACGTTTGGCCGTTTGGCCGTTCTTCCTGTCCTTGTTGTCCAAAATATTCTGGACCACAGCCGCATGGTCCTTCTGCGCGTTCTCGATCGCTGACTGGCAGAACACGCCTGGCCCACCGCGTTCGACGTCGCGCCGTCTTCCAAACGTGTCGACGACAGGTGTCGGATCACCACGTGTTTCACCACCTGTTCGGATCGCGCACGGAAAGGAGGGAGGACGAAGAACTGTGGAGCTCCCCGCCCAGCGCCACACTGTGGAGCCAGATAAAGCCGTCAAGTGCGACAAATCCAGCGCAGTCACAGCACTGCGGCAAGCCCTGAATGAGAGCCACGAGGCAAGCACTGGAAGTGGGGCGATCAATTCCAGTCCACCACACGCAATATCAAGCAATCAGATTGCGCCTGTGAAGGGGAGCCCTAGAACAGTACACCACACCACAAGTGGAGGCCTTCGTCAATCTGCCAACCAAAACATCCCAATGTGGAGGCGAATCCCGCGCCAAAGCGCGAACCCGGGTGGAAGCTGCGGGGAGACCCTCGATCGATAGCTTTCCCCAGATCTGATCCGATTAAGGGTAGGCCAACCGGCCAAGCTGCACGGAGTTCAAACGGCGATGCTTGGCGACGCGCTTGGCTTTGTATCTCTCAAAAAAGGAGGCAAACACTTGAAGTGACTTGGGCTTTGCAACCGCACCATGTCAACAGTCACGAACATAGCCATCCTCCAGGACTGACAGCTTTGCCGGACAACACAGGCTCCCAAGAAGTCAACAGCCGCACATCTTTGAGCAGGAAGCAAGGCCGCAAAGCGTCCAGAGCACGAGAAGAACAACAAGTCCCGTCGTCAACATAAACAAAAACTGTTAAAATATGTTGACATGTCATGTATGGTGGAAAGGTCACTTCGTGCATGTAGACTCGACATGCAAGACTCCCCTATCGCCTTCCTTCCAGGGAGGGGACATCGAAATGCACTACCCAACCCGCCACATAGCGAGCCTCACAAGAGCCCAAAGGAACTCAGCCAACAGTCCCCACAAGCAAAGCCACAAAGAGGTCACCACTCTGCAAAGAGGTCACCACTCTGCTGCGCGCAGAGAACCGCAATCTGTGCAGCACCACTGACATGTCGCAGTTGCAATGGATGGCCAAATGCAACATGAAGTTAGCCCCCATTCAGAAGGTCCTGGCAAACCAATGCCAAAGACCCTTTTTGCGAACCATCCATCGTTCCATCGTGAGTCTTTCTTTGTGACAGGAACTAAAGAGGCACAAGGGAACAACTCGAAATTATATAGACAGTCCCACATGAATGTTCAAGGGATCTTCTTTGTGCTAACGGCTCTAAAACCGTACGTGCGTTTTTGCGTTTTTTGCTTCTTGGATGTTTTGTGCACTTTCCCATATATATATATATATGTATGCGTCTATGTTGCATCTTGACATTGCGTTTCACACATATAGGCGGTTAACGTTGCACACTGGGTTGGATGCTACGTTGTGCTATGCTGGT